CTGAAAATTCAGGTTTGTAAAATCCTCAATATAGCATTCTTCTTCTCTTTCTAGTTCCAGGTATCTGCATGGATAAGGAAGAAGACTTGTCGAGCACCGGATCAATAGATTTATTGTCCTGAGCTTTCCAACTCTTGCAGGAGTCCATCTTCAGAGGTAAACAATTGTGCGCCTTAGACTCGGAAGGGGGGGCGGGGTTAAAAGTAAAACACATAAAGTTGCAGTGCCTGCAAATGCCTGACTTACTGACAGGTAGCCACGAAATTGGTTGTACATGATGGCGGTGAAAATCTTCATAAAGACGAAGGTGCCGATGGAGACAAACAGAATGAGGAAGATCGCAGACAGTCGGTTTTTGGCGTAGTTCTGGAGCATGACTAAGGCAGACGAGAAAAAGCAGAATACACTCAGATCGGAAACGAGGGCGAAAGCGACAAAAGAATTGAATCGAGTCAATTTTATCGAGTCAGTTCATCAGCACATTTGTCTACCAGCAAATGAAAGCGGGGTGAAGGAGGGCTACCTACGGCCAAATTAAAACGGGCCAATAGAAAAGTTGTAGGGCATCAGTAGTCCGGAGTGTGACTGAATGCAAGTGTATGCTGCCGAGAGTACCCAAAAGATCAAGTAGTAAGCTATTTGACAGAAAAGAAAATGTCCCGAAAAGATGGTCATTCTTCTAATTACATAAGCTATAGAACAGAAGCGCGATAGGATCCAAATAGGAACTCCGTCGCAATAACGGACGCCGAATAAAAAAGTTGCTTTAGAATAGAAGAAACCCAAAACGAACCATCTGGGTGATTGGCAGTCGAGAGGAGGACGATGAGATTGTAGAAGTTTTCGTAGAACAAACGGAGATTGTCCCCGCCCCGCAAGGAGAATAGACCCTAAAGGATTTTTAAGAAATATTTCTAAGACAAGCAGTGTGCATGTGGGAAGTATTAGTAGTACTATTAGCAATAGTAGTAGCAGATTTAGTGGTAGTATTAGTGGCCGTAGCAGTGGTAGTAGAATTAACTGTAATGGTGATGTTAGTAGCAGCAGTAGTAGGAGGGGTGGTAGTAATGGTAGTAGTAGTAGTAGTAGTAGTAGTAGTAGTAGTAGTAGTAG